GACTAAAAATAGCATTCAGTATTGAAAATTAACCTGTGTCCTTTTTTGAGACCAAATTTAGGAAAAAAAGTGCGTCTTATATGCCGTCAAATACGGTATAAGAAAAAACATGAGAATGTAGTGCAAAACTATTAACGCTCTCAATCCATCAAGAATTACAGCAGGAATTACATATTATATTTTAGTAAGTACATAATCAATTGATGCATATATGGTTACCAAAATTCATTGAAAATCACTAATTTGTATTAAAATATATAAAATACCTATTACAACATTAAAAAACACATATGAGGTTCACACAGAGAAAATTAGTAAGAGTATACTAGAATATGTGCAAGGTACCAAGGATGTCAACGTATATTGAAATTACAGGATACAGTTAACTATGGCATTGTAGGTGGGAATAATAAGTATATAACATGACGAACAAAAAGATAAATTCATATAAAGTGCATGCAAACATGGTCAGCATAGTCTATTAATTACTGTGCACAGCCTCAAACATATTCTCAGATATTGAAAAGACAATTCCAAATTCTAAATTTTAGAACGTGGACACAATGGACATGAATGAGTACACAATGGTAAGCTGTGAAAGAAAAAAAAAAAAAAAAAAAGAACAGTGCGATTTTTTAAAGAAAAGTAGTCAGATCTTCATTTTTTTTTTTTTTTTTTTTTTTTTTGTTTGTTGTACATAAAGGTAAGGCAGTTGCCTTATTTGCAATGACAGTGTAGCTGTGATGATGGAATACAACATTAAGAGACATTTTGATATTTAGCACAGTGAGAAATACTCTGCAATGGAAAGTTATTTTTGAAGTGATAAGGTGAACGAATTAAAATCAAAACTAAATTTTCAGCAGACTATCTTCACCACAGCGAATAAAGAATAGTGTTCATGTTAGTTACATTGGAAAACCCTTTGCTGGTGGAGAATTTGAAAAAGAATGTCTTCAGGGTGCAGTTCATGCACTTTGTCTATCACAGGCTCAAATAATATTGAATATTAGCTTGCCTGATATGACAATAGTGAGACGCATAGAGGATCTCGCAACAGATATATTCAGTGAATTAAAATCCAAATGCAAAACATTTGAGTTTTATTCTGTAGTGATGGATGAATCAACAGATGTGATAGATACAGCACAAGTAGCTATTATTATTCGTGGTGTTGACAGAGACTTCCCAATTATGGAGGAATTAGCTAGTGTCATTGCACTTAAAGGTACAACATAAGGAACAGATTTGTATTCGAATCTGACACAAATTTTGGATAAATGTGAGTTGGACTTCATCAATATATCTGCTATAACGATGGATGGTGCTAAATCTATGACTGGAGGGAAAATAGGAGTAACAACATTACTCAAATCTGATGTGAGGACAAATGAAAATAATACTATGATGACTTTCCACTGCATCATCCACCAAGAAAATTTGTGCAAGAAATCCTTCTCAAACTTCCTATGATAAATGTTGTTGTAAAAGTGGCTAATTTCATTCAGTCTAAAGGACTTAATCACAGGCAATATCAACAGTTCTTGAGTGATTTGGAAGCTGAATATGCTGATGTTGTGTATTACAAAGAAGTAAATTGGTTGAGCTGAGGAAAGATGCTTCAGTGCCTGTTTTCTTTGAAGAGCAAAGTTTAACAATTCATGGAATCTAAAGGGAAATCTGTTCACGAGTTTAGTGATGAGAAATGGTTGAGAGCCTGCACTTCTTGTCGATAGTACAGGTCATCTCAATGATTTTGAATTACCACTTGCTGGGAAAATACCTACTTGTTCATAATCTTTATTACTTTGTGAAAGCTTTTGAGACAAAATTAATCCTGTGAGAAAATCAGTTGCTAAATAAGAATTCCCAAAATTGATGGAGAATGTCAAGAACTCTACAACATAGAATTCAAATAATTATGTACAATGCATTTTAAATTTGAAAGAGGAATTCAGAAGCAGATTTTCTGATTTCCATGAAAATGAAATTTTTATGAGAATATGTTCTTTGCCATTTTCAGTAGATGTTGGAAGTGTTCCACCCAAACTTCAATTAGAATTTATAGATTTGCAGTGTGACTCTGCAGTAAAATACAAGTTTCTATAAAATCCTACATTAATTGATTTTTATTCGAAGTACGTGACCGAAGATAGGTATTCAGGAGTTTGTAAACATGCACTCTTCATGTCTTCTATCTTTGGCAATGTATGAATAGCATTTAGCAAAATGAAAATCCTAAAATCAAAAACAAGAACATGGCTGACAGACATTTGGAAGAAACTTTATGAATTGCAACAATAAAGATTAGATGGGATATCAAAGCTTTAATCAAGCAAAAACAATGTTAAATTTCACATTAAAACTAACTAAAGTAACTACCATCTTCCGCCAGCATTTTTTTTTTTGGTAAATGCATTTTTTTACATTGTTCTGTACAATACTCTTTATACTTTTTTTTCATATTTAACCCTTTAACTGTCAAGTTATTTTGATGATTTGGGTACACAAATTGTCAATTTTTTTTTATTGGAAAATTCAAATGTTTAGTACAAAATAAAATATACTTAAGTAGTTAAAAATTGATATTTTGAAGTACATGGGTAAAATTTTAAAGTTTTGTAGCCAATGCATATTTTGCTTGAGGCGGCTGCCACTCAACATGGCAGTTATAAAGTTTCGCTTCTAGTGAAGCATTATTTTCTAAAAATGAAAAAAATTAATTATTTTCTAAAAAATAGATAAATATAGGCAAATACCTATTAGTAGTTCAGTAATTCAGTCTTGTGTGGTACAACTGGAAACACTTTTCCAAGCACAAAACCAACTCCATAATCACTACAACCACACCAAACCGTGTTTCCTTCCTTATCTTTCCCCCATTTTTATCCTTTTTCAAACAACACACTTTGCACTGTCTTCGTAGGCTCACTTTCGCAGGAGTAGGAGGAATATGGGATATAAAATGTCGTTCAGTAAGACGAGGCAGGAGTTATCTATTGTAGGTGGTCTGCCAACGTTCTTTTGTCCAGAAGCTGCATCATCATATTTATGTAAAAGCTCTTCTACAACTTGGATTCGAAAATTCTAAAAATGTAATATGTTTTCCAAACTACATTTTCATAGAGCAAATATGAGTTCCAGAGTACCTTGTCTAGTAAATGTAAAAATATCTTTTTATAATATTTTTTCTGACGTTTCCGGATTGTTTGGATGAAAGGATATTTCCTGATTACAGCGATCTACACATCCCATAGATAGACTGTAATTAGAAACAATCTTCGGCTTGAGTATATCTCCATTTTTTTATTTTTGAGGCTGACCATAGAAGTATCATGAATACTGCTCATCAAACACACATCCTTCATCTTCGGTTGAGGAATCTAAATCATCTATATAACTGTTTCAAAGAACTGGACGCCATTTTACAACAAAAAGATCCCGTGCACTTTGAACCAAAGAACTTGTAACCTCTACCTTTTGAAATCTTCAGTAAAGTGCTGTCATCTATTGAATTGAGCGATATTCAATTGAGCGACATTAACTTTTCCCGAGATACAGTCGGGTTTGACAAAGAGATGAAGCCGAAATGAACGTCTCCCGATATATATTCGGGTATAACAATATGATGCACTCAAGAAAAAAAATTACCCCGAGCAATACTCGGGCGTGACATTTTCGAACACCAGTGCTGTGCCCGAGATTATCTCGGGCACGACAGTTAAAAGGTTAAAAGACGTTGCAAAACATTTTAATTTGATTTCCATTTGATATTTTGGAACCAATGTATACAGTCAAAAGTCTTTAATCCGGACTCGTCGGCACTTCGGCGATTCCGGATTATCGTTTTTTCAGGATTATAGATTATCAATTTAAATCTGGTAAGATAGCATGCAGAATTATAAAATTAAAAATATGAGACCATAATTTATGAAATAAAGAGCAATTATGATCTAAAGGGTATCAGAAATTAGGAAAAAAAAAGCTTAATATTTATTTTTTTACTTTATTAAACATTTCTTTCAACGCACGCATGCGTAAAGCACACATTACGCATAGTCGAAATTAGAAAAATGCAACCAGAAAACTATTTGATGTGTATTCGTGATATTTATAATGACGAGGAATTTGATTTAAATTGTATCAAAGACGGAGTACATCGAGATGAAATACTACATTTAGAAGGAATTATAAGCCGAATAAAATAAAAACATCTTCCCTGAAGATAAGGATAGTGCTGACAGATCAACTTCCAGTTCATTGCGCGCCGCGACGTTCACCCCCCCCCCCCGCAGAGCAGCGTGAAATTGATAAACAGATTTCGGAATGGTTAGAGAATCAAAGGATATGCCTTTATCCATTTTTTGCAGCAATTCCACTTTTTGTTTGATGGACATCGAAACATGCTTTCGCTTTGTAGATCCTTTGGCAGCTCCAGGATCGGAAATTCTTTTTGACATAATCGAAAGTTCAAGCTTACTTTTATAAAATTGCTCTAACAGTCTGCAAAAAATAATAAGCCGGATCCAATTAGAAGATTAAGGAACAACGCAATCTGCAACATTAACTGAAATAGATAATTAGATAATTTTAGCTTAGCTTATACCATCCGTTATACATTAAACGTGCATGCGTAAACGTATTGCGCGCATGCATAAAGGTATTATGCACATGTATAAATGCATTATGCGTTTACACATGCACAGAAAGTTTGTAGCTTTGAGGTCTAGATTACAGATGATTCCGGATTATGGACGTCCGGATTAAAGACTTTTGACTGTATAACGTATATACAAATCTGTAACACTAGCTCTTCGCTTAAAAATTAATTGCAGTCTTGCAAAACAGACCTCTCTTTTTTATATAAATTTTCTGACTACACTATTTTTTTGGCAGGCACATGGCCCACGGATCTTTGTGAATTTATTCATGTGGCCCTCTGGCGTGAAATGTTGAAGATCCCTACTTTAAAGATATCATTTATAAAATAGGATTCATACCTTTTACTATCCTCATTGCTTGACTTTCCTTTATCTGTATGCTTAAAGAAAGATCTATAAAAGAAGGTTTCAAATATTAAAATAAATAAATTATAAACAAGAACACAATAAAGCAATCTTATGGCTAAGAAAAAAAATATTAGGCCTTCCATACAAAACATTTTCTTTATAAATACATAGAAATAATCCAAAAATACAAATAAAAATGTTGTTATGTTTTTTAATGCTAAGTAACTGAAATAAGATTCAGTAATTAATTATATCACAGAAACTTAATTCACATTAATTAAAAACAAAATAATGCAACTCATATTGCTTAGACATCAGAAAAGATCTGATGGTCCATCCAGTAATTTACTAGCATATATACAATTTATTTTGCTTTAAAAACATAATCATGATTCTTAATAATGTATTCAAATATAAACATCTAAATTCCAGTTTTATTTTGGTGCCAGATGCTAAGTAAGAACAATGGCAAAACTAATATTGAAAGTAGATGAACATGATTCACTTCATCAGAGTTCAGATTTGAATGCAGAACATGATCCACTTTCATCAAACTTCAGATCTGAATGCAGAAAATGATCATGTTAATCCACTTTCAGAATAAGTTTGTGCACGGTTGATAAATAAAAAAGCCTGAAAGACTAGATTTATATTTAACTACACATTTAATTATTTTTGTACAGGTATTGTTCATTTGTGTGTTCCTGTACTTGATTTTGATATTTCTAGTTTTGTCTTTCTAATTAAATTAGTAAAACAAAAGATGGGATTATGTTATAAACTGACATTGCTACTGCCCAAGATAAAATATTAATTTTGTCACTGCTGTTATTGAGGATCTGGCACCAAAATACAACTGGAATTTATATGTTTATGTTTAAATACATTATTAAGAATGATGATTATGCTTTTAAAGCAAAATAATTTGGAATGTACTAACAAATGAGTGATTTTAGTACATGTCTCAAGATGCAGATACTTTTTCCTTCCTGCAAAAGCAAGTGTTAATGTCTTCCTGTTATTCAAAGAGACCATTCAGAGAGATTTGAATGAATCGATAGTCCACAACAGTATTTTGTTTCCTTTCATAGTTTATTAAAGACATTATGAATTAATCACTAAAATAAGCAGTGAATAATGTATCAAATAACTTTGAAATTTTTATTTTTCATTTAATACCTAGAAACATTTTAAAACACAAAAGACAGATTTTATACATAAAATGAAAAAAACTAACAGAAATCTTATGTAAAAAATTCTAATGAGGAATTTCTAAATCAATTATTAAAATTATTCATCTAATGAAATTTATCTTCTTAGGTTGATCATTTTCTTTTCTAAAACAATCTGAACTTGAAGTAAATTGACTATCTTATTAACAATCTACCTAACTTTCTGCAATTTTCTCTGTAAGAGATTTAAAGTAGCATCAATCTTTAATAATGTTTCTAAATTTAATGCCTTTATGTTTTCAGACATTCTAAACTTAAGTTTAATCCCTTCAGATCTATGAAATATAAAACAGTAATCTGAAAGTGCACATGCTTAAATAATCAATTTTAAAATTCATAAGACGGACTCCAATTACTTGTAAAAAAAAAAAAAAAAACTGCTTTGAATGTTGCCTGAAGATCGAATTGTATACATTGCTAGATACACAGCGAGGAAATGAGAAAATTAAAATACAGTCAAAAGTCATTAATTCAGACACCCATAATCCGGACCTCAAAGCTAAAAACTTTCTGCGCATGTGCCGCTTTGACACATGCGCATAGGCGTTTACGCGTATGCGTAAGACCTTTACGACTGCACATGTGCGTGTGCGCAAGCGCAGAATACGTTTTCGCGTGCGCGTTTAATGTATAACGGACGGTATAAGCTAAAATTATCTAATTGTCTATTTCAGTTAATGTTAATGATTGCATTGTTTTTTAATCTAAGAATTGGATCCCACTTATTATTTTTTGCAGACTGTAAGAACAATTTTATAAAAGTAAACTTGAACTTTCGATTATGTCAAATAGAATTTCTGATGCTGGAACTTCCAAAGGATCTACAAAACGAAAGTATGTTTCGATGTCCAACAAACAAAAAGTGGAATTCCTGCAAAAAATGGATAAAGGCATATCCTTTGTTTATCTAACCATTCCGAAATCTGTTTATCAATTTCACGCTGCTCTGCGCGGGGGGTGGGGAGGGGGAACGTCGCGGCACGCAATGAACTGGAAGTTGATCTGTCAGCACTATTGTTATCTTCAGGACAGATGTTTTCATTTTATTCGGCTTATAATTAATTCATTACTAAATGTAGTATTTCATCTCCGATTTACTCCGTCTTTGATATGATTTAAATCAATTCCTCGTCATTATAAATATCACGAATACAAATCAAATAGTTTTCTGGTTGCAATTTTCTAATTTCGGCTATGCGTAATGTATGCTTTACGCATGCGCGCGTTGTAAGAAATATTTAATAAAGTAAACAAATAAATATTAAGCTTTTTTTTTTTGTAAATTTTGATACCCTTTAGATCATAATCGGTCATTATTTTATAAATTATGGTTTCATATTTTTAATTTTATAATTTCTGCATGTCATCTTACCAGATTTAAACTGATGATCTATAATCCGGAAAAATCGATAATCCAGAATCGCCGAAGTCCCGACAAGTCCGGATTAAAGACTTTTGACTGTATAAGTTTGGGAATTGAATGAATCATTTAAAACATGCTGTATCCCAAACAAGCTTGTAAGATACTGTTTATTACAATAAGGATAAAATTTATATTTAAGAAGCTTACAAAGAAAATTTTCACAAAAACCTTTCCCTCCCCCCTAGAGGCAGATTTTTTAATTCATAGATTACTTCAAATATTTTGTATAGATACCAATATTAAGACGGTAAAGTGATCGCAAATAAATATATTGAGTTGCTCACATCTGTTTTTGGAACGCTTGCATTTGGCTAGTCTATATTTTAGGATGCCCTTTGAATTATTGCCAAGTTGTTGCTTCATTTATCCCCATATTGTTGTATCATTTATGGTAACCCTATTATGACATGATTGTTTGCGTGATTGTGGTGAATTTGACTGATGGGAAAATATTTGTAAGGGCTTATTTCTGCATTAGATGTGCACTGTACACTGTAAAATGGCTGTATGTGAAGTTTCTGTATAATTTGCAATGAAAGGGGGAGGGCATTAATTGAATGGTGTGTAAATGAGGATTTACTTAGTAGTCATTATAAGTGTCCTGTTTGTATTGTAGAGGTATTAGGTTAATTGGAAAAGCCGGAGAGATGAAAAATTTGCAACACCTTTGCCGGGAACCGAACCACGGACCACTGGATACCGGCCCAGCGTGCAGAACCACTATACCACGAAGCACACGGGAGAAATACCTTATATACTCCCCCTTTTAAAGGCTGACTGGGGTTTTTAGGGGGCCCAATCGTGGGTCCTGGGTGAGGAGAATCATCATTCAACACCCTTTTAGTTTGGGCACCACTATACATTAGGTTAATTGGAAAAGCCGGAGAGATGAAAAATTAGCAACGCCTTTGCAAGGAATCGAACCACGGACCTCTGGATACCGTCCCAGCGTGCAGAACCACCTACCACACCATGAAAGCACGCTAGGAAGGGGGGAAAAATACCTTACAGTATGATGGAAATGCATATGGTTGAACATAAAGATCATTCAGATGGCTTTGAATGGTTTTGTCGCAAGAAATGCCACCGGCAGTACAGCACTTCGGAGGATATTTTTGTGAATTTATGTGATGACGGCTGTATGCATATTCTAAATCAGATAATTTTAGAAAGTTTTTGGATGCTGTTAAGAAATTTTGTGTGCCACAGACTGAAGACACAGAAATTTCTAAATATGGTAAGTCGATATTTTTTTTTTTTTTTTTTTTTTTTTTTTTTTTTTTTTTTTAGTGCACATATGCGATAACACACATTTCCTTTTTTATGTTATTTCACTGTTTAATTTAAAATGCAGTTTATTGAGCTTCAATTGGCTACAAATTTTGCCCAATTTTGGTGGACAAACTTAACTCCTTAATCTAAAACTTAACTTTGTTTTAACATTATACGATGCCATCATTCCCTGATTTTTTCTAAGTGAAAATAGATTAATGCCTACATGGACAAAGTCAAGGGAATATGCAATGCCAAGTTTGTGCTCTGATGTTTTTTAAGTGAAAATTGAAAGAGTTCTGAATCCAGAGGGGTTCTTCCCTGATGTGACGTCATGAGCGAGGGCAATAGTACTAAGGCCATCTTCAGACACTATTAGGGTCAACAGAGCGTATGATTACGCTAGAAGTTAAGTAGCATTAACTATTCCTTAACATTAGTAAATTTAACTTTTAGCAAGATGTATCGAAAGTTAAGTTTATTTACAGTCAAAAGTCGTTATTCCGGACTCGTCGGGACTTTGGCGATTCCGGATTATAGATCATCAGTTTAAATCTGCTAAGATGGCATGCAGAAATTATAAAATTAAAAATATGAAACCAAAATTTATGAAATAAAGAACAATTACGATCTAAAGGGCATCAAAATTTACGAAAAGAAAAAAAGCTTAATATTTATTTGTTCACTTTATTAAACATTTCTTTCAATGTAAGTTGTTTAAGTTGCTCGTTTTATGTGATAATATTTTCTCTTTAATTCTATAAACAGACATAATTTCTTGTTCAGTTACAAAGTTCTGCTGTTCAAGTCCCTATAATTGCTGTGTCGAGAATACCGACTAATTTGTCAATTGAAATTTTTTCGTTTCCAATAACCTCTGTGTCACTTTCTTCACTATCAGAAGCAAATTATAATGACGAGGAATTTGATTTAAATTATATCAAAGACGGAGTACATCGAGATAAAATACTACATTTAGTAAGGAATTATAAGCAAAATAAAATAAAAACATCTGCCCTGAAGATAAGGATAGTGCTGACAGATCAACTTCCAATTCATTGCGCATCGCGGCGTTCCCCTCTCCCCCCGCCGCTGAGCAGCGTGAAATTGACAAACCT